CAGCTCCACTCTACAAGTGCCTCCCCAGAAAGATGGCAGAGAGGGGCAGTGTTAGAAGCAGAGTATGCTTTCTTTTCAAGGCACATGCTTAGTATGAGACTTAGAGAAGTAAAGGCAGATCCTCCTTTTCACACTTATTACAGGAGCCAATACCTGATCAATCCAAGGCTGTATTTAATGTGTTTTTCCTCTAACAAAACAACTTTAAAGCTATCTACTCCTTGTTGCTAGTGCTGCCAAGCTGAGTCACTTTCTTAAAGGCTAGGTGGAAGGTCATGGGGGCCCTTACTGCTTCAATAAAAGGAATTTTATTACAAGCTGCTCTTGCCATTTTGTTCTCCATTCAGCATATATGGCAATACCATCTGATTTATTCATTTCTGGAAAAGAGGTATCTTATTTTATAGCCTTCACACAGACACATTGCATTGTCATGAAGAAAACAGATACATGGGATAAAACAAAAAAGCTTCCAGTGTTGGTCTTCTACAGTCTTTCATTTTACTTGGAAGTTGCTTCCACAGATCTGCCTTCAGAGATATCAGCAAGGAGATCTCCATCCTTAAAGTGCACATATCCTCCATGATGTCTGCTGGGCAGGCATTGAAATGTGGGTCTATAACTCCCATATTTCAGGGAGAGCTCGCATGTGAGCAGAGCAGATATAGCTGGCAGGAAAACAAAGTAAATGCAGAGAAGAAAGAGTGAGGAGAAGGCACTCATGTCTCACTTTACAAGATCCCCTGCTCCCAGAGTGAAACTCGTTGCTTACACCAAGTGTAAGCAGCATATGGCTGTTATTCCACGCTAGTTCAGACTCTCAACCTCCTTTGCAACACATCAGCCTGGAATAAGCAACCCTATGAACAAGGACACTCTCAGATGGTCACACCGTGTTAGACATTACATGTCTATATAGGACCAAGTCATGTGCAGAAGACAAAAGAGGAAAAAAGAGGGAGGAGGGAAAGATTTCTGCAGAGGGAGGTGGCATTGAACTATTTATGGTTCCTGCCCAATACTCTTCAGAGAGAGATGTATCCCTTAGTATAATGTTTCCATCAGTGAATGCAGTATTCCAGCTCATCCTTTGCCTTTTTAAAACTCAAGTTAGCAAGTAATAACCTGCTTCTATACAGGCAATAACCTGATCTCAGATTAAGGCAGCATATGTTAGGGCTGGATTCAGCCACACCATACCTGCCAGGGTGCCCATAGAGCCATGCTCCTCGCATGCCAGGATGAAGTGGTTGAGGATGCCTGGGGCAGACAGGGAGTCTAGACTCTCCTGCCCTAGGGTATGTGAAATCCTGCCAAGGCCATGCTGAGACTGTTTAATCCTATTAAAGCATAAGCTGGAAGTACACGATACTCATTAAAAGAAATAGCTTGCTTTGTTCCCAAGATCTAAACCCCACAGCAGCAGACACTGTGGGATAACCCACCATTATTGATCTCTGCAGGCAGGGCTTGCCATTGGCTTGCCATTCCCAGCACCACTACCTGAAGAAATCCCACAGCCCTGCTCTTTGCTCACATATGGAGACATAGGTTTACGATCCCTTCTCAGGACAAGTGCCAGAGCTAGATCACACGTATTTCCAAAGGGAATTTGCAAATACAAGGGCCCAGCTAGTCCTCCAGCTGGTGCTTTACAGGCACACAGAGTCCATACAGGGCCACAGCCAGTTGTCACTGTCCCCACACTGGCCTTCTCACTATTAAAGTACTGAGTAGACAAAACCAGGCACATCTATCCCCCTCACTCAGTGTGTTGCCAAGTCTCTCACTGTTGCTGCTGACTTTGCATGCACAGTTACAGAACGCTAAAAACAGAGTGCACAGAAGCCTTCAGGCTAGGAAAGAAGAAAAAAATATTATCTGGTTGTGTAAGTCAATAAGTAAATCTGTTCAGGAATAGTAATCATTTATCAAAAGATGGAGAAAAAGATTGAGAAAGATAGGCTGTGAAAACTCATCCAGATCTCTTAATGTATGGAAGGGGCAGGAATTCTATGGCATGTGGAGCTTTTCTGCAACATCCAGCTTAAGCAGGGGGTTCAAGACTTCCAATGGTTTTAGCTGTTAAACTTAGTAATATCTGAAACATGAAGAAATTTTCCCCTTCCAAAACTGTTTATTTTTAAGATACTTGTGCTGCAGTATAGCATGCATTGTTGGTTAGATACCACATTACTAAGGAAGTGATGAAATCATCATTGTTACTTTTGTTCATTCCACCCATAATGAGTTGAAGCAATTCATGCCATTCAGAAAGACAGAGCTGTTTGTATCCAAGTAATCACTACTGGCACTGCAGAGCTTGACGCAGGTGTGTGCCCAAGGACACATTTCCCTGAAGCTCACAAAAGGACCGGGAAGGAAAGGGGCAACCCTACTGAAGCAATAATGCATGTGAACCTATAGAAATCAACACACTTCTCTGACCATGTTCCCCAGAGAAGCTTTGTGAGGTGTCCAGATACTTGTCTGCTTTGTGGCTACATGGAGCTGGGCAACAAAAAACCCTCAAAAACAAATAGGAAGAGAATCAATAAGACAACAGCAGCAAGAGGAAGACAGACATGTGCATGTCACCAAGAATTAAATAGTTGTCATTCCTTCATGCATATTTCCTGTCTTGTGGATCAGCATCCCCAAGTACTAGAGCATCACCTCCCTGTCTTCTGATAACAGAAAGCCTGCCCCTCAGTAGTGACCATAAAACCTGTTATTTAAAGGGACTATCACCTGATCCTGCTTCCCTGCCCCCTCAATCAACTGAGCTGTCATTCTTCCCTCCCCCTTGATGCTTGCTTCAGGTAACCTCCCTTTAGATCTTCACTAAAACTATTAATTCACTGTGCTGCTGAAGAATCATCATGGATCTTTCCATAGTCTCTGCATCCACTAACAGTTTACACAAAGCGGAAGTCCTCCATTCTCTGTACACAGGAATGTCTTTTTAAGAAAGTGATGCTGTCTAAAACAAAACATGAATTATTTTTTACCAAAACAAAAAAAAAATTACACAACACTGCCTTCACATAGCCAACTGCAAGTGGTTTTTTTTCAGAACCCATGCAGTCAGTTATTTCTTAAGAAGGTGCTTTATATGCTCTCCAAGGCAGTATTCATACTATCCCACATATTCTCGCTGTTGCTATGGAAATCATTGCTCCGTAAGCTGATGTGCAAATGCAGGTCTCATTGCTGAGTAGAGAGGCTAAAGGTGTGCATGAGTCAAACTGTTTGTTGTGCATTATTCCTCTGCAGCCTCACTGCTGCTGGGGAACAGGGGAAGGAACAATTAAATGTCTGCACTGAGAGTGCCTGTAACAAGGAGCTGTGGAAAGACTTAGCAGGGTGTTAGCAATGCTAGAGAGTCATAGGAAGGCTCTGGCTGTTACCTGCAACCAAACACAATTTAGTCATCCAGCTCACCTGCTCTGGATGTTACAGAAGTGACAGGATTCAGGCACAAGAGGTACAAAACATCATTCATGGTGTTTTCAAACATTTCAGGGGGAAAGTAAGTCATGAGGCATCATCATGGATACAAGGCAGGCAATACCCTTTCACATCTATAGGCCTGAAATTACTCAGAAAAGTGAATGATAAAATCAGGTTTTTGACAAGGACCTGCTGGTGGCTAGAGAGAGGCAGACTTGAAAGCTGCTGGAGATCCCTCTAACTCTGGTGAAGCAGCAAGACCAAAGGGGAAAACCTACAAAAATCAAGCTTCTTTGCATATGCTGTTTGGCAACTCAACTAAACATGGTTTTCACACTGCTTAATACCTATGAATAAGCATTAAGGTGAATATTGGAGTACTCTCAGTCAAAACACAGCTTGATGTCAGCAGGCACTTTTCAATAACAACCACTGCCCTTTCACAGTGCACCAGAAACACAGGAACCTGCTGCCTTCAGGACTCAGCAACCTTTTACTGTGAGTTGAGATGAACCCATTGGAGCAGAGGCCATGTGTGGCAGCTGCTGAGCTCCTCTGTGCCCCACTCCAGCCAAACACAGGTACTTCTCTGCATATGGGAGGCTGTGTGAACATTTCAACACAAACATCCCACACCCATTTCTTTCCATCTCCCCTGGAATACTTGGTAGTAATTTTCATAAATATATTAAGTAGTATGTCTCAAGGTAGTCCCCATGCCTGGGTAGTTTCTTAGTTCATCCCTTCTGCAGCCTGTGGGTGGGAACTGGGATCAAAGAGGGAACAAGGGGTGTAGTGAACTCAGATTTATAGTAGGTTTTTAAGGGAGAATAGGGCTTTTCTATTTTTTGCAAGTGTTAGAGTGACCATCTGAACATTCAAAATTTTTTTTTCTTCAAACAAAGAAATAGACAGCTGTAGCAGAGAAATACAGATTTATCAAAAAAGCAAACATGGGCTTTTTTTTTTTTCTCCTTCATCCCACTGAAAAAACTGCTCCTGCAGAAGATTGACAAGCGGTCCATCACGCAAACTGAAGGTTTCTAATCACATCTTATTTCCTTTCTTACTGATCTACAAGAAACAAGTGTTCTACCAATCCTCTCCTCTGAATTATCATCTGCCATAGACATTAGGGAACTCTTAGAAGCAAGGCAAGAAACTTAGAGTTACAGAGTCACGGAAGTTCGTGAAGTTTTTACACCACTTTTTCCTTCTGTTTTGGTCAGTCACCCTGCAGAAAGGCAGATAATTAAAGAACAGATTCCAAACACACAAACAGAAGTCTGAACTTCTACAAAATATCTCAGATCACAAAGACAGTAATTTCAAAACACAACTCCTTTGAGGCACCATTACATATGACAATTAAACACAAACACAGTAAACAGGCTACAGCATATTACTGTAAAGAAAGAAAACAGATCTCCCTCAACTGTAGCCCAAAACATAGGCAGCACTTACTTCAATTCAGGACTAGAAGGGAGTCTGTTATCACCTAAAGCTGCTGCACTCCTGCTTGCTTTCCCACGTGGAGGTGGTCTGCTCTCTTATGAGCTACCTGGAGGGGGTCAGCTGCTCCGTGGTCCTTAGGAGAAACACCTGCTAGTTCAGCATAGCTTGCTAGCAGAGTGCAGGGGTGGCTAGCATTTAAAACAAAAGAAGAATTACTTAACGATTCTTTATAAATATTGTTGGTTTTAATTATTCATGAGCTATAATGGGCATTTTTGTGGTTAAAAATAACTTACTCGATAAATACCTCCTAGTATTCTAGTAAACTGTTATACCATCTATTGAAAATGCAACGATAAGCAAATAAAAGTGTTTCTAGTTGCTTTAAGAAGATATGGTATGAATGTGAATGAATTACATTAAATCACAATATCATAGAGAAGTATCTTGTGATTTATAAATTCCTACCTTATGTAAATTAGTGCCACAGAATTCTGCAGCCCCATGGATAGCTGTCCTTTGTGTTGTGGTATGAATAACAAACTATGCCTCAAAAGCTTCCTAATATGTGGGTGGGAGTTGGAGAATACAAATGACATAAGAAACTAGAGGGGTTTATTTCAGGAACAGCTTAGTATGTTAGAATATAGTATTAGAGATTAGAGGTTATGGATTAGAGATTCACTGTCTTGTTAGGAAGGGTGTAAAAGAAACACTGAAAGAATAGTAGAGATATGGCAAAGAGCAATGTACACATGTGCACTTAACATAATTAATTGCCATTCCTGTTATTTTTAGTATAATGGCATTCACAATGAATCATAGCATGAGTGCAAATTTAAGAAATGTGATTGTGAATGGATTTGGTACAATCTGTTTATGACACTCATAAGTACAGACACAACGCCACCGTCAGAGGGACTAGGAAGGATTCTTTTCATGTACATCACAGCCAAAACCTATAAATTTAAATTCTGAACAAGTTCTTAAATTTGCTAATCATTAGGGCCATTTTTTTTTTCATTTTCAGGTGCCTCATTTCATGTAAACTCATCGTGTCTTGGTATCCAGTTCAGGGGTTGAGTTTGAGCTGAAATGCTTCTTAAAATATTTGATACTCTTCTGTAACAGGTGTAAGTGAATTTAGAAATACAGATCAATCAAAGGATAGACTGAATTCAATAGTTTTCTAGGATAATTTTCTTCAACAACAGAACTAAAACCCAAGAGACAACATTCTTGCAAATGTTAAGAAAGCTTATGTTTTCAGGGATTTCTTCATTATAAAGTGAAAGATTAAATTAGTACATGTCAAGAGACAGGATGCACATCAGAGAAAGGGGAAGAGGCATTACTGACTCAAGTTCTGCTAACTTTTAGTTTTCCCCTGGGGCAGACACTATTTTTCTGCTTTGCATGAGGAAAAGTTACTGAAAAAGGACTATGCTATGGAAAAATTACTGAAAAAGGACTTCTACCTCTCATCTCTCCATAGCAATTGCACCTTAATTTACATGTGTGATGACAACAGGTGACACAAAATACACATTTCAGTGCCAAATCCTAGAATTAAACTGCAGGGAAAAAGGAGGGCTTGTCAGCATTTGAGAAGCAGTATCCTTTCCATCACACTCCGTATGAAGTACACCCTAAGATAGCAAAAGCTCTCAGCTCTGATTAACTCCCACAGGAGTTTAGTGACTCAGCACCAGGCAAGTGATCTCAGCACATTTCAGGATGAGGCCATTTCCCTACTTGATAGCAAATATTGCAGCAGTTCCTTAAACTGAGTCTGTATACATAAATATGCTCTAGTAAATCTCACCATCAGTGCATCAGCCCAAAATTGGTTCTCTCTTGGCTGAACATTATGCAACTTGGCTTCACTTGACCAGCAACACACCCAGAGGGTCAGATATAGGGGAGATATTTTCATCTGTTAGTGAAACCAAAGGCTATCCATCTTTCCCTGCCACTCCCCTTTGTTGCTGGATTTATTTTCTGACAACATTTGTCCTATAAACAAGAAAGAACTCATGTGCCTGTTTTTGTAATTTTAAAAATAATCCCAGAACCTGTTAAAGGTTGATAGTGTCTAATGTAATGTGTTCTGTCCTTCCACAGGAGAGGAACTGGGCTCTAGTGTTTTTTCTCTCACAAAGCAAAGAAAGCAAGTGATGTTTCCTTCTCTTCTGGCTGCGCTTTTGGCCTTGATTTCAAATCTCTGTCCATCAAATCTAGATTTAGAGCTGGAAAAAGATAGATGACCACATATTATTATCAGATGAACCGATTCTACTGACACTTGGGGTGGCAATATGCAACCTACTTCAAGAGGAAGCTTCTGGTTATTTGGCTGTTGAACACAGCCAAGTTGTTGTTGTGCACACAATAGAACTGTTCCGAATATTTTCACTAAGTCCAGCATATCCAGGATGTGTCTGGACATGATATGTGATCAGATCAACTGTGCCACCCCCTTGTGTCTGGACTGGAGTACCCTAAGGGCACTGGAGCTTACAAAGAGCTGGTGCAGTTTGTGTCCCTAACAGCTCCCGTGTGTGGGATGCATTGCACTGTTGGTCACTGGCCTGCACTGCACCCCTACACAGTATAGTAGTTTCTCTGCGTGCTTTACAGCTCCTCGGGCTGTTCGTGGCACCTCATTGTATGTTAACAAAAAGCAGATTTTCGTAAGATTGCAGAATTCTGTGAGTTGGAAAACTGATTGATTCATGGAAATATTATTTCAGGTTAGTTCTACAGTGTAAATCGGTAGAAAGGCATGTTTTTGCCAGAAGACTGACTCAGGATTACTTGAAGAAAGGAAATGCAGAGTAATCCAGTGGAAACCTCACATTGGTCGGTAGCAGCTCAACTCCCTCCATTCATCAACAGAATAAATCCTCCATGTGTTTTCTTCCGATGATACCAGACATCAGCACAAAAGGCCCACTGCCTTTGGAAGCACAAACTTCCAAGTGCTGTGGAACAGGATGCGCATGTCCCTTGTCCTGCTGTAACCTGGAACTGAACCTGATTTAAATGCAATTCATAGACAGGGCTACTACAGTTACACTTTCTCTCCTGCAGTGAGACACAGTGGCAGCTACTCAGTCCTGGTATATCTATAGTGGTAGAAAACAGTAACTTGATACAAAGAAGGCATCAGCCAGCAGTCAGAACTCACTGCTCAGTGACAGCGGTTTGTGGTCTAGGAGTATAGCTCCAGATGATGTTAGGATGACAGCTCAGTATCCCAGCCACAGTGAAGGATACACAATTGTCCCCATATGACATGAAAGGTGACACTGTCCACAACACACAGTTTTAGCCATTAGACATTTGTCATGAATATCTAACAGCTGCAGCTGGGAATAATTTCTAGTGCGAAGGTCTTGTGTTCCCTGAGCAGACAGAGTAGACGGGGGAGTCAGCAGCTGCTGCAGTTATTAGTCAGCCAAAACTCTGCAAGCTTCTGACCCCACATGTTTTCCCTGGATTTAGTGGCTCCATGAACCTGCAGCTGCAGAGGCTGTGGAGGCGGTGTTGCACTTGCTCTGATCAAGAAGTGTGTTGCAGCTCCATGTTCAGCTCCTCGGAGTAGCTGAGTTTGTCCACTTCTGACTGATGCTTCTAAAAGTTACTTCACTCCTCCTTCTCACAACTATTATGAGTAATAAATACCTCCTGTCATTTTTTAAAAGATACTATTAGCAGCTATTCCCTTTTATCCCTCATGTTCAAGCCATCTTAATGAGGTAGGAAGTATGCTCACAGAGTCCACTGCACTAGTTCAGCCTAGCAAAAATCTCACAGATAAATGTCCTTGCAAGCTGGGAAGAGACGATTGTGGAGACTAAGCTGTGTTTAGAACAAACAGCACTTAGTGAATTTTTCAGATAAGTTTCCTTTTCTCTCCTGTGAGCAGAACTGGTATTACTAACTTGTTCCTGGGAAATCTTGTGGTTGCATTTTTGTGTTTAGTTGACTTAGAAAAATATCCTGAAAGAGAGGTGAAAAGCCTTGACACAGAGACAAGTTGTGCACTTCAACAGGGTGATGTTTGATTGCATCTAGGGATGCTTTCATATGTATGCTCTGCTTCACGTGACAGTTCTTTATGAACCATCTCACTGGCTGACAGCACACAGATGGCAGGACAAAAGTGAGATAAATTTGCTATGTGCTGGTCAAAGAGAGGGTGTAATGATTAGTTTTCATCTTAAGTGAACTGAGGCAACCAGTGTCAAGTCCAGAGTAACTGTGGCACAACGTTCTGAGAAGATGCTGAAGGTAGCACCTATTTCATTATTACTGGGTTTTCAAAAGGTGACTAATTTATGATTTTGGATTTCTGCTTTTAACTGATGATGCTCTTACAATGCAATGGAGTAGCTCAAGGGTTTCTTCTGTTAGCATCATCTCTGTTTTGGACATATTGGGAAGTTTCATACTTGTCTGTGGCATCTCAGGAGATGATGGATTTTAGGCAATAGACTTCAACTCATATAAGTTATGAACTGAATACTACCTGGAAAAAGAAATAGATGGAATATCCTGAAATGCACAGGGAAAATTTACCATTTCATCCCAAAACCTTTGAATTATTTGCTTGAATGAAATGCTGGAATTACAAAAATTTAAAATATGTTCAGTTTTGTATTTGTAGGCTTATACTTTAAAAGAATCTATAGGCACCACATGGACTGACTCCACCTGACTGTAACTTTGTAATGAACATGGAGGAACTCTCAGACCAAGAGCCTGCAAGTTACCTGATTCTGTTTCTGAGCTGGTATCGAATTCCCTTGTGGTTTCTGATGGTTAAGTAACTGCTACAGTCCACTGTGCTTGGTTTTATTTTCAGTAAGAAATGGGTACTGTAGTCTCTGAGTGTATTAGATACCATTTTCATAAGTGTACACTTCACTGGAGTACTTCTGTGCCAAGTCAGTGATTTTGGGACAGTTCATAAATGCAAAATGTCTTTTGTGTGTAAGGAAGAGCAGCACCCCACTGCAAGCAGAAAACAAATATGGGATTGCTTCAAAACTACCAAGGCCAGTTACCTTGGCATTTACAGGTGACAGAGTTTGCAACATTTTACAGGTTTGAAACTTTCTGTTTTAGTCTTTCTTTAAATTAAAATGTCATAAAGATGTCAGTGAAACTCTATCACTCTGTG